TCAGGGTGGGCTATTTTCTTTACTGGAGCGCCGTTAAAACCCCGTGATACCCCATCCAAACAAACCACAGGATTCGTGATGGCTGCTGGTACGGCGTATCTCGACGCTGTGAAAAAGAAAATCAGGTCTCTGCAAGAACAAGCAGACGATGCTGAGAGCAGAATACAGAGACTACAGGAGGAGCTCGAGTCCGAGCGCGCAGCCAGGCAATCTGTGAGCTTACGATAATGATTTAAGTGCATTAGCAGGCCAACTGCAGCGCGCTTTCGCATCAGATTACATCAAAAGGCGGAAAATGGCAAGAAAATCATTCTAAAATGATGTTTAAACAACGTTTTCGTCGTTAGAAAGTTCGCAATAATTGATTGTGTACTGGCGCTTAATGTATGGAGAGGGCGGTGATGCTTTTTGACAGGTCCTCCCATCTTTAAACAACGCGTTACTTTAATGGTTTAAAGTTTCCCAGAAAATTAGTAGACGCTAGCATTTGAATGTTGTGAGGTATTTGTCAAGATATGGTGTATCACTTTTAAAACCATAGTATGTAAAACGACAGTGTAATAAGTTCTAGACTTTTTTTTTCTCACGAAAGCGCTGTTTAAATCTGTTATTAATGTAGACTAGACTAGATTAGTGCGCGGTGAGCTCATTACTCGTTGTCTGTGCGCAGGCTGAGGGCGACGTCGCTTCCCTGAACAGACGCATCCAGCTGGTTGAGGAGGAGTTGGATCGCGCTCAGGAGCGTCTGGCCACTGCTCTGCAGAAGCTGGAGGAGGCTGAGAAGGCTGCTGATGAGAGTGAGAGGTGTGTATGAAAACTTATTGGCCACTTATTATGACTAGGGCACAAAACAAGCCCTGAGACTCTTAGAAAGAACTTTCCTCTTTTGCAAAAAAATGGCAAGAGGTCAAGGACGTCAAATGTGACCCTTGACCACAAACCCAGTCATAAGGGTCAATTTTTTTTAAATTGAGACTTCAAAATAAATAAGCTTTCCATTGATGTATGGACAATATTATTATTGTAGGACAATATTTGGCTGAGATATATAACTATTTGAAAATCTGGAATCTGAGGGTGCAAAAAATCTAAATATTGAGAAAATCGCCTTTAATTAAAGCTGTCCAAATGAAGTCCTTAGCAATGCATATTACTAATCAAAAATTAAGTTTTGATATATTTAAGGTAGGAAATGTACAAAATATCTTCATGGAACATGATCTTTATTTAATATCCTAATGATTTTTGGCATAAAAGAAAAATCGATCATTTTGACCCATACCTTGTATTGTTAGCTATTGCTACAAATATACCCGTGCTACTTATGACTGGTTTTGTGGTCCAGGGTCACAAATATGTTTTTATTTTCCCAATTTTATTTTCCATTTTTAATTGAGACATTTTTAAATAAAAGTTAAAACCATGATATGGAATTTTTAGCATTATATAAATATAAAAATTAAATCATTTTAATTTTTGGGGTTACAAAAATGTGTAAAATATGATAGTTTTTATTGCAGTGAATTGAATATCAATTCATTAGATTTTGTCACATCGGTCAGATGGCAATGTATGATTTTAATTAACCTCTGACGTAGGATAAACCAAAATTGCATTTTAACGGGAGGATATAGACACTACTTTGATGCTTAATCTAATTCAAATTGATAGTTTATTTTAAACATATGCAATAGGCCTCATGATTTTTAGAGAGTTATAATAACACCTAAACCCTTTCCCTCTCTCCGTCTCTCTCAGAGGCATGAAGGTCATTGAGAACAGGGCCCTGAAGGATGAGGAGAAGATGGAGCTGCAGGAGATCCAGTTGAAGGAGGCCAAGCACATTGCTGAGGAGGCCGACCGCAAGTATGAGGAGGTCAGTTTTTTCTCTCTTTCTTACTCTTATCATTTATTATAAATAAATGTAATAAAATTATGAATAAATAATTTCCAATAAACAATGTCTTCATCTTGGACAACATAACACATGTGCACTTCTTTGTGATGCTACACAGGTGGCCCGTAAGCTGGTGATTGTTGAGGGTGAGCTGGAGCGTACTGAGGAGCGTGCTGAGCTCAATGAGAGGTAAAAACAAACAAATTTAACACTTTTTAAAAACATATTTGCGTATCTTAAGTCTCGGTGTGTCATTTTTTGTCTCCAATTTTCTGTCACTCCCACCTATAGCAAGTGCTCTGAGCTGGAGGAGGAGTTGAAAACTGTGACCAACAACATGAAGTCCCTGGAAGCCCAGGCTGAGAAGGTAAGCATGTAAATGTTATGTGTATGTGTGAATTAGTGAATGTTCATCTGTGTATATTTGTTTTGTGTGTTTGCATGTTAATCCTCTCATCTCTCTTTCCTGTCTACAGTACTCCGCTAAAGAGGACAAATATGAGGATGAGATCAAGGTCTTGACTGACAAGCTGAAGGAGGTGAGTTCATTCAGCCACCATCTTGCGTGTGTGTGTGTGTGTGTGAGTGAGTGTGAGTATGTGCTTACATATAAGAGGGCCTGACATCTCTCTGTGTTCCAGGCTGAGACTCGTGCTGAGTTCGCTGAGAGATCAGTCACCAAGCTTGAGAAGACCATTGATGATCTGGAGGGTATGTCAACTTGTACCTCACTGTTGCTATTAGACATAGGTTAAATCCTTAGTTACATATTTACATCCTTGCAATATCAGGTTTAGGTTTGTTTTGCGTTCATCTGTTACAATTAACAGTTCACATAGTGATTTAAAGGATATGCCTTTAAATTAGCAGCAGTACATATCACCACTGCTAGAATATACTATTTAGGTATTTGAGAGATTTAATTTTTTCTTATGATTAAGGAAGGTAATTTCACTTCATTTCATTTCTGTTTGCCTAGTCTTTGCTTTTATCTGTCTCTCTCTGGCCACTTGTCATTGTTCGATCCACCTTTGCACTGCTTCCTTTCCCTTATTTATTTGTTTCTCCATTCTTTTCCATTCCTCCCCACTCAACACCCCTCTACCATTCTGGCCTTTAATTGGCTACTTTAGATGAATTGTATGCTCAGAAACTCAAGTACAAAGCCATCAGCGAGGAGCTGGACCACGCTCTCAACGACATGACCTCCATGTAACTATCACCACATGTTACTCGTGTTCGTGTATGAGAGTGTGCACATGTGTTTGGTTTAATAGCATTTCCAGTTTCTCTGTCTGCTAGTATAATCTAATTTTAAGGTTTGATGACAGATTTTAGACTGAACCCAGTATTAAGTTTAAAGCCTGCTTGACAAACCTTTCTATTGATTTACTAGGTATGAAGTTATGTATAAAAAATTAGATTACACACACACTGTCTTTCATCTGGAACGCATGATGACTCTCTTTTTTTTATCTCTGGCATGCCCTTTGTTGTTTGATATCACCATCTCTCATTTGTTTTAACTCGTTTTTTTTTTCTTTTCTCATTTATTTCAACTAATTTTTAAATGTAAACATTATGTTTACATTTTCTTGCAACTTGCTAAATTATTTATATGTGAATAAACAAATAAATTAATCTCAAAATGCCTGATGAAATCATTTTCTCACATGCATGAACATACTTGTTGCGTGATTGACCAAATATATGTATATTTATCCTACACTGACAGTCTTTTTATATCTCTCACATGTCCTTTATTGTTTAACATCACCATCTCTCATTTGTTTCAACTCGTTTTTGTTTCTCCCCTTGTACAGTTAAATTTTTTGCATCTCATCTCTGGCTCTGGGCACCATCTGAGCAGCAACTCCTTCATTTCCTCCGTGTTTCTCTATTTTTCTTTTCGAGAAGCTTGAATAAAGTCCAAAAAAGCTCCTTTTCATCACCTTATGTTGCTTCTCTCTTTGGCAGCTCATGTACAGCTGTAATTCTCCTATTCATTCCATCACATTTTACAGCACAGCTTCTGTGGCATTGTAAATATTGGATTAAAAGAAAGATCTTAGCATTTACTTTAGCAAACCATTTTGGGTAAATGCTTTTGGAACTAACATCTCTCCTTTAATTTTCACTCTTCTCTTCTCTTCTCTTCTCTTCTCTTCTCTTCTCTTCCCTTCCCTTCCCTTCCCTTCCCTTCCCTTCCCTTATCTTCTCACCAGACTCCCTCTATCAACAGCTCCGGAAAAACCGGGTCCTTTCACGAGCTCAGTTTAGCACTCAATGAATTCTAACCTCACAACAGAATGAGAGAAAACCAGGGCATACACTGAATATGAATATGAACACAGTCTATTGTTTGTGTTGCACACAGAGTAACCAATAATCTATGATGACAGATAATCCATAATTTAATTATTCTTATATTGTTGGTACTGTGGGTCTTACGCTTTTTTTTAATGTCAAGTCTAAAGATATATTATAAAATGTGAGGATTTACTGTGTATGGGTTGAATCTGCAAGAGTGACAAAACCTAAAGCTTAAATGTTAAATGTGAAAAAACATGGCAACCCGTTTCCTTTAAATGGTAAACAGCCTCAACCTTTTCAATGCATTTTACGTAAAGGGAAAAGTTTACATAGAAAGAGGAAAGTGCCTTCTGCATTATATAACACACCTTGGATCATTACCAAAGGTGATTTGTGTTGTAGGAGTAGACTGTATTTACTAGTGTCAGTAGTTCTTCTAAAATCAGAAAAATATTTCTAGATTAATTATCTGAATTATACAATTATAAAACTATCAGTACATGTTTATCACATTTAAAAATGTGCCATTTCTGATATACATGCAATGTACAACCCTCAGGTACACAAATATAAATGTTTACTTTTTTGCAACTTGCTAAATTATTAATATAACTGGGGGAAAAAATCATTTAATTTCAAAATGCCAAGTGCAATGCAAACATGTTCTCACTTGCATGAACATACTTGTTGCGTCTTTATTTATTTATTTGACACTGACATATAATTTTTTTTAGTTAAAAATACAATCACAGCAAACATGTTGTAGTTAGGGGTCTGTACAAGTGCTCGTTGTGAGACTTTTAAGCAACTTCCGGTTCCGCCTCTGTGTGGTGGGTCAAATGTGAGAAGAGAATCCGTGTGAAAATGGAAGGGGATGCAGCTTCTCCAAACATATTGGGGGAAAGTAAAGCTGGATATATCCTGAGTAATGTTGCCGAGGTCGTGGAGAGGATTTTGACATTTGTGCCGACTAAAAATCTCCTCCGGATAGCAAGGTAATGATTTTAGCTGAGTGTTGATGTTTTAGCCTGTTAGCTTTGAGCTAATCAGAAGACCCCATTCAGACCATCACAGTTCAAGCGGTATTATATAAACTCATGTTATGAATGAACAGCATTTAAATGTACACGTTTATGTTGTTGAGTGATTAGGTTGGTACGATCTTCCTGGTTTCGCTTTTTCTTTCTCAAGACTAGATCAACTAGAATACACCAGTTATTGCTGCCAGTACTTTAAATATTTTCAAAGTTTCGCACTTTTTTAAAGTGTGGTGATGTATTAATTAACGATAATTGATGATATTCATCTGGATGTCAGTTGTCACTCATCAGATTCGTAAACAGAATGCAAATGAATTAGTCTGGATGGTTTAACTTTTAGGTGACGATTTATTTGGGGTTTCTCTTAACAGCTCTGTCAGCTGATCTGTTTATCTTAATAACGTAAAATGCAAACAGCAGGTGCTCCAGAGCAAAACTGCAGTTGAAAAAAAGGTTTCTACAATGAAAAACTTAAATGATGTTTTTACTTGTTAAATTTTAGAATCGATCGGCGCTTCAATTCATTGAGTGCGTAGTATTGTACCTTTTAACAATTTAACAATTACTGTCATTATGAAGCTATCCTTCATATACAGTAGACTGATGATTGACGTTATACAAACTACAGTGTGTATTAGAGTTTCTATTTAGTATTTTTTGTAAGAATATTTCTGCCTGTTTTGTTAATCTAGTAGTTGGCAGATAATTTTGAACAATAGCCATAAAAATACATGTATAATAACAATGGAGAATTAATAATATAATGAATAAATTATCAAAAGCAAGTAATCTTATGTTTTTATTAAACAATGCTATTAAAATACATAGTGTAATAGTATATGTGCATATACATTGCAACATGCCATCCAAAATTCTCTTACTGGTTTTAGCAAAATATTTAAATGTTTTTTTAGACAACAAATCATTGATTTATTACAACAAAACACTACAAATATCTTAATTTAAGCATTTCCATATGAACAACCAGTTGCAGACAAAAAAATGTTTATAGCAATGACTGTTTGTATGTTGCTATTGGTGTTTCTTTTTCTGTAGTGTGTGTAGGCTATGGAGGAATTGTGCACGCAGAGTCTTGAGGACACAGCAGAGACTGACCTGGCTCTCTGCCTCTGGCTCATCCATATACGAGGAGCATGTTTTGCTTAAAACTATGGCAGAAGACTTGGAGGTCTGATGGTCTTTGCTGCTTTTTTTTGTAACAAAAGCAAAGTTAAAGTTATTATAAACTCTAGAAATGACAAGCATAATTTTTTACAGATTTTTGAAATGTTTTTCTTTCCTCTGACTCCCTGCAGAAGGTCTATCTACTGCCCCAGACAGCTCTCCTAATGGTGAATGGAGAAAACTTCAATTGGCCTTTTAGTTACAGACAGAAAAAGGGTAAGTTACGTGATTATTTGTATTAAAAACCTGTTAGTCATGATGAGGAGATTCACCCGTTCATTTCCATCCTTCCTTGTTACAGCCAGGAAGTGTGAGAATGAAGTGGCGTCTGATCCTGTCGAGAAGCTGAGACGCTTACTGCCTAGCACTTGTGATGTAGTAGGAATTGTTGCATCAGGAATTGTTGGTAAGACTAATTGTCCCTCTTTCCCTGTGTTCTGCCATTACTGTGTTTGATGGTAAGGTCAGTGCAGCAGTGTAACTGTAATTTCTTATGCTGTGTGCTATAGTGACCCCCAGTGGTTCACCCAGCAGCCCCCCAGAAGAGCACGAAGAGGGTGAAGCTGGCTTCAGTCTGCTTTTCCCTGCCATGGATGGGGTCACCATCCGGCCTTTTCACTTCTGCAAAAAGAGCCTCAGTGAATCGGCAATGGAGGAAGCAGGTGAGTTGTTTAAATTGTAGCAACTGGTGCAAGTTCTTTTTATTTTTTTTAAGTAGGTCCATCTTTTCACTAAAACAGTGAAAGTTTGGGGTTGGTTTGAATGGCATGGTTTTGGGTTAAGGTTTTTTTAGTTTTTTTGTTTAGTTTTAGTTTTTTTAAAAGAAGCATTGAAGTCTCTATGCTCACCAAGGCTGTGTTTATATGATCAAAAATACAGTAAAAATAATATTTTTAAATATTGTAATTTAAAATAACTTTTCTAAATGAATATATTTTAAAATGTAGTTTATTCAGGGCGTAAAGTTTTCAGTCGCTATGACGGATTTCCGTCAATTGGAAAAAATGAGGGGAAAAGAAACATGTAGCACGTTGTTGTTGTTGTTCTGCCAAACTGTTCCCATTAAAACAGTAGGTAGTACAATTCGACAACGAAAAATGCTACCTGTCAAATTATGGTTTATTAAAGTCTACACCTACCCCAACCCTAAACCTACCCTTACAGTAATGCAGATACATTAAATATTGTTGTTCAGCATGAGAAAAAGGACGCAATATTGATTGAAGCCCTGGTAGGAAAATCTGACGGGTAGGATAAAATGTCAGGACACCGGCACACCAAAAATCACCCCCGCCACGGCTGCAGCTTCTCACTGACAACATAGTGACGCCGCTCGCATCATTCACAGTCGGGTAATTAACAGAGAACACAGAGCAGGACTTGAATTTCAGTGCGGGATTGCGTCTATAATAATTCTACTCATTCCCGCAGGTTCCGCGCTTATAACGCGATGACAGCTGATGGAATGTATCAATTGCACGTGCTTTTGAGTCTTGCTTATTTAAAGTGAAAGTGAACTCACTGGCGTGCTCTCTTATAGACCATTTTCATGCGCCCACAGATCGCGATAAAGGAGAGTGACAGCTTTTAAAGATTATTAAGGGAGTTTGCAAATGTGATATTGATTTAATACAACAGTTCAATAAACAAGAAGTTATTA